ACATGCGTGTCCTTTATCATCTGTAATACTGACGCAATTGAGCAGAGTCCTTCTTGAGGAGCTAATAGTTCGTTCAGTTGTCAAGAAATTTCCAACTTTCTGGGGTTCATTACCGTGTTCACAAGAGCCTTCCAGCAGTCCCTATCCTGAGCCAGTTGAATCCAGACCCACCCTCCAACCCCATTTCCTAAAGATTCATTATAATGTTGTTCTTCCGTCCACACTAGGTCTTCCGAATGGTATTTCCCTTCAGGCTGTCCAGTAAGTACTCTGTTCTCAGACGTCTTCAATCTGTTCTTACGCTAAAATGGAGGTCCAGGGTTCAAAATTATACTTTTGTGTATCGTAATCTTTACGCATTCAGATACAGTAGCAGATGGGAAGACAGAAGAGTGAACGGTGTGCTAGGAAGCATTCCGTGATTTCATTATGCATTTAATTTTTTCGTGAATGCGATTTCATCATCAGGGCAATTATTACACAGATTATGGAGGCTGTGAGCACTTCTGAAACGTCGGTAACTTTCTACGAGACTGCACTGTCTAACATAATCTTCATGTTGGCGCAGTTCGTGCTGTTGGCTGTATTGACATTTTGTATGCTGCGGTGTAAATATGAGATTGCCGTTCATATCCCATCGTGGGACGATACAGGCGGAAAAGTAATTCGATCTCGTGGAAAGAAGTCAAGAAATTCAAGTCGAGTAAGGCAGGCGGCTCTGCCCCTAACATTAGACTACAATATGTACGTAGACTCAGTGATGTGGGAACAGATTTGATAGTCGGTTCAGGTTTGCAACAAAACCGCAAAATTAACCGATAGAAGCCGATATACCGAGTGTTATTTCTTACTTTCCTCGACCACGGACACAGTGTCCTCCCATGAAGTCGAACCGACACATAAAACATAATTTCGCTTCACGGCTGCGCTGTGTAAAAGACACCACTGTAATATTGTGAATTTATTTAATACGTTGAGGCATTTCCAAAAATTGGGTGCCTGATGTTGTAGTGTATTTAAGTATGGATTTTATGAATCCCATATCTCATACCTGTTGTTATGTGCTAGCACGTGAAACAGGGCGTAAAAATATGCGGAACAGCATGTGATCATGACAGCATGCATCTGAGAGCCGTGTGCACTGAACTTATTTATCATCAGATAGTACAATTGGTAAACACTCCCATGCAATTAATCTTAACACAGGAAATTAGTTTTACGTGTAATTACCATTGTACTGTGCGCAATATTGTTTGATGATTTGACGCTCCCAAACATTCGACAGTTGAATAAGGCGTGTTGAAGAGAGAATTCAGTCACGCATTACTGAAGGGAGGAACAAAATAATGAGGAAGATGGCTGTCTTCTTGGATGCTGCACCGCGTAGTCTGGTAGACATTTAACAGGCGGCAAATATCTCTAAAACGTCGGTAAACGTCTACCAGACTACGCGGCTCTAAAACTCGGAAGACAGCCATCTTCATACGCGCCGCCGTGTAAACCTAAAATGTCACGCAATAAAAGATGGCTCCTGAAGAGAAGGAAGTGGTCCATGGAGGTGGAGGAAGCTGCATACATTCTTGATCCAGGCACTAGTTAGAAGTGGCGGACCTTCACACTCCGGCCATTTTGTTCCTGGAGAAAATAACAGTCTCTGGTATTGATCTAATTGGAGGCCGGGCGAGTTGGTGTGGATGCGGTAAAGAGAAACCATTCTTCTACCGGAAATCGAATTCCTGTCAGCCAGCTGTTTAGTGGCTGAGGTACATGAGCTTATCTTCTGTTCTTTTGTTGTAGAAGTTTTCTAAACGTTTAATGAGACAAGCTGCATGAGTCGTTCGACAAACCGTGACAATTGTCCAACTTTAGAGAGGAATTCAACCCTCGTTAGAGACTCAGGACTGAGCGCTGCTGCCGAAATCGGCTTTTAGGTAAAAGATGAATCAGTAAACTGTAACAGTTTATTTTTATTGCTGGGTTACTGGTAGGATAGTTGGTGGGGGCGGACTTTTCGCCGTGTAAGGTGGTTTGAAACCCATCCTTTATGTCCTACTCTAAGTAAAAATGTGTTTTGCTCCTGGCACCTCCTCTTTGCAACTAGACCAAGTATTGATCTGTATGTTTAGGCATCACAGCCTGAACGCAAAACAGTGCTTGTATTCGTATCTTCTTATGAGCTTGAAATTCTAATATGTCGAAAGAGATAAATGTATTTTGTTGTAATTCTCGAAACAACTGTACAGGTCGTCAACCACTTCTTGCAGTATTTAATATTGTCTCCACAAGATACCTACAGAATGTTAATTTATTTCAGGAAATGTGGCTCAAATACGGAAGATCTGGACTAATAAGAAACATATAATGACACAAGCCACGTGTAGTAGAATTTGATGTTTTCACGGCGGTGAGTGTGAAGATGGCTGTCTTTTGGGTTGTAGCGCCGTATAGTCTGTTAGAAGTTTACGGACGTTTCAGAGATGCTTGATATCTCCAGCATTAAGGCGATGAGTGTTCACGGCTCAACTACCAAGAATACAGCCATCTTATCACGATATTTTTTCGCAGAGACTAAGAAAAGTTTGTAGTCAGTGCCGTTAACTCTGCTGAAATTTGAACTGGATACTTCCCAAATACAAGTGGTAAGCGTTTCTGCTGCACGAGTTTGCTTTTTGATTGTTTTGAAAGCGCGTAGAATGAGATAATTTAGGATCCATTGGCGAGCTTCTGTTGTAATTGTGATGAACGTTCCTGTTTGTTAAACAGAAGGGAAATAATTGTCTTCCCCGGCGCATTAAATGTCAGATAATGGGGTTACTTTGTATTCTGTTCGAATAGCGTATTTCTGTGAGTTTTCAAACAACGCGTCCGTGAAGCGATCTGAAGGGTTATGGGTTGATCCGATTTGACTGGTGGAGCGTCAGACATGAAGACGGCACATGTGAAGTCAGTGTCTGAAAGGAGAGAAAATAATTCCGATGTGATGAAAAGTCATGTAAGGGTCAGTTCTCCATTTTACGTGCAGCCAATGTATGATGTATTCGGGGTCTGTTGAATCGCCAAACCCTCAGTATCAGGTGATTATGTTCTCTACGTCACGTAATATCACATACTGCGCGCCACCTGTTGACTGATGTGAGTTAACGAACAGATGACAATCGTATTGAAGACGATTACTGCAAATAAAGGAGCTGTCGGTTGCCTTACGTTTTGCCTACCATTGTCAGCTAGTTAAATGTTGACAGTCGATGTAGGAGACGTTTATATCGATCGTAAATAGTTCTTGTAAATTCTGAAGTAAATAGACGAAATCGTGTATTACCTGTCTTTGTCATACTCAAATATAATTGTACTCACGAGTTGTAATTTCTTTAGTGTCTCAGTGATGACACTAATGCATAAGTATTAATTTTTTGACATTGAACAATTTAATCCATGAGCCGGGGTTACTCAGTCAGTATAGTGACTAGCTACGGGCTGGACGACTGGGGTTCGATACCCGACGGAGGCAGAGGATTTTTCCTCTAGCATCTTCTCTGGGGCCCACCAAGCCTCCTCTACAATGGGTACCGGGGGTCCTTTCCCGGGGGTAAAGCCGGCCGGGGCGTGATGCTGACCACTCACCCCCATCTAGTGCCGAGGTCAAGGAAGAGAGGAGCTATACCTCCTCTCACCCCAAACGCCTACATGGCGTATAGTGGGACAAACTTTACTTTACTTTACTATTTAATCCAGTAACGTGACAATAATTTATAATCGGTTACAGTGAATAAACAAATTGAAATTATGCGTAAACAGAAAATAAAAATTTACGATGTATACATTCATTCGCTTGCATCCGTCCAAATGTCATTCATTACGACTCGTCCTAAATCTTGATTTGACTTAATTAAGATGAGTAGTTGATCACAGCGATAGGTATCTACTACTGCCACGGGCTGCCGGTTGAGAATCCTTTAGCTTTAGTTTTTGAAACCTAAAGTTGTTGATTCATAATAATAACTTGATGAAAATGCCCTGATATTGTTTACATTGGGTTTATTAAAAAGGAACGCAGAAGAATAATCCAATACCGCGTACACATTACAAGCAACAAGAGTTTAATAAACGTGCGCTGTAATGAATGTACGAGTCCATTTCTTTTAGTAGAGTACAGTTAATGTTCCTAAATTCCTGGCGAATGAAAAGTTTTCCGGGATTGTAGACTTTGTTTCTGTAATATCCTCTTCCAAACAACGAACTGTGGTTAGCGCCATTCTTCTATCATGCGTAGTTTCCGAGCTAAGGAATGCTGAGTTCGAATCCCTCGTCGGGATTGGAACTCAGGACATTTATTTACAAATTTTAGAAACAAGATGGAGGTGACTTGTCAGAGTTTTCACGCGCTGAGTTCATGACGCCCGAGGAAAAATCCCCCGGAATACGCCGAATGGGTCCCAGAATTAGTCTCGACCTGGTGGTGTATAGAAAATGTTCTACACCGCCGTTTGGGAATAACAGCCAAGCACAGACTTTCCGTTTTGAACTAACTGTATTTATTCCATGTTTGACATCAAATTTATTTTATGTACCCCCTGATGAGACTTCATGTACCCTGTGGGGATGCTTGTATTCTTCATTCAGAACATCTGCAGTCCATTGAACTTAGGCTTCAAACTTTAGGGCCGGGAAGATGGAATTTACTATTTGATATACAACCTAATTTCTTTGATTGATTTTATACACTTACAACCATGACAGTTTTTAATACAAACTTTTAAAATATTTGTTACTATTTTCTGTTTGTCTGTAGCTGTTCGGATTCTGATTGCCATTTGTTTTCTTCCGAACTGTCGAATTGAACAGTTTTATTTTCCTCTATATTGATACATTATGAAATAAGTGAAATTATTATTTGAAGTAATTTAAAATTGTGCGTGTCTTTTCTTTGTCCTTTATTTAATGATTATTATTTTCAAGTTTTATTAAATGTATTATTCTATCTTCCCTCCCCCACCTCAGTATATGCATTATATCACGTGTGATCTGCGAGCTGTTTTGTTTGTTCGCTGCTAAGTAGTAGACTTATTAGTGATAGTGATTACATTGTTGATAGCATCGAAATGGAAGATATTTCATCAGGCGTTTCTTCCCCTGAATTTTCAGAATTAAAAAATTCAGTATCGACATCGAAGACCGGACCGCTTTCAGCAGAGACTAGTGGAGCTAAAGTAAAAACGACAACAAAGAGCAGAACTGGTGGCGTCAAATTGGGTTCTTTCAGACTAGGCGGAAGGAGGAAGATAAGTTCCGAAGGAGATTCCAGTACGGAAGTGAAGGAGGATAAAAGAAAGTTAAAAAAACATAAGAAAGAAACCAGCGGTAAGCCAGAATCAGAGGATAGTGCAGCGTCGACGCAGTCTGTAGCCACCAAGCAGTCCCTATCAAGCAGAACATCTTCACTTGTGCGGAAGTTAAGTATTGGGAGGCACAGATCTAGTGGCTCAGGAGGGTCTCTCAAATCGCCGGATACGCCGTCATCTCAAGAATTTCACTCTGCGTCTACTGAAGAAGACTGTTTCTTCCCCGCGTCGTCTTCAACGGGCGTCACTGACGGACGTCCGAGCCAGGAAGGAATTATCAGCGCAGCCCCCACTCAGGATGTCTTAAGTCCCATCGACCAATCGACAGCTCGTACTAAAGTAAGCAAATCCGAGTCAAGTATTAACGACGCTACTCATTGTAACGGTGATTCAGTTACAAAGGCCATGTCGGGGATTAAGGACAACTTGCCCAATCCGGAATCTCAAGACGGAACTCCGGATGTAGTCCAAAGTGAGAAGAGTGAAGCTAATGGCGAGGTAGCCGCTCCGGAAATTGGGAATGATTGTGACGCCAAGAACTTGGTTGAAATTCGTGAACATGTTTCAGAATCGGACCAGAATAAAGAAATTTCATCGGCAGTTGCGAATGGAGATGTACTTCCCACAAGCTACAGCACATCTGTGAATCTTTCAGAAGTTTCGCCTCTAAGCACTACACCGACACCTGTAAATGGAGACAAAACTTCTAAATTCGAATGGCGTGTACTGGATATTCGTAAGGTTGATAAATCGCCAGAGCAAGATGCCGACAGAAAGCCTACAACAAAAGACCAGATCCTGTCCATAACAACGCCTTTGCTGTTGAAACAAAGGCAGCAGGTGGAAGAGTACTTCAAACTTGTTGCGCCGGGGCCTCTGCCTTCTGTGTCAACCAACCACCAGCTGCTGGGCTTAGATGAGGACGATTTTCGCGATTCTAGTGTGGAGACAGAATCGCGGTCGCCGTCTCCTGTCGCGGACACCGAAGTCAAAATATTTCAGAAACTAGGAATTTCGGTAAGCGTTTACTTTGCGTTCTGTGCCACTTGTAATGGGGGGGGGGGTTATCTTTAAAAATTGTATAAAATTAATATTGCGTCTATCTTTAGTCGACACGTTTCGCCTCGGAATATCCTATACAGATTTCGATTATTTTTTTTAGGTTTGCACTAAAGTTATCGAGCGAATTTAATCTTGATTCATACCTGCCGAATGTAGATTCTTTTCTTGATGCTCAAATCGAATTAAGAGAGGGGCCGCACGTCCGTTGCAACGGACGTACTTTTGTACGGACGTAGGTGAGGACATCACACCGTGGCAGCTTGAAAGGATTTAGAAAAAATAATAATAGTATTGTCTGTACTTACAAATCATAATTCTATGACGGCCGTACTTTGTACGGTCGTGTGGCCCCAGCCTGAGATTTGAGGTTCTCACTGCTGTGAAGATGTCCATTTCGTCTTGTGGTTAGTAGTGCAATATGGACATGTAGGTAGATATCGTTTCGGAGAAACGTAGGTCTCCATCTTCAGAGCCGAAGTCCTGAAAATGGTGACAGTATTTTTTTCCCCCCGAAATGTTGGTATCTGCTAGTCCACATGGCATATGTCCAACATCGACATCAGAATTAATTTCTCAGAAACGGTTCATCGTGCAAAAGATTGTGTACTGTAAATTAGGTAAAAGGATGTCGATAGGATATAAAACTTTAATTTCAAACATTTTTCGGTGTGATGAATATGTCTGTCCAATAGCATACAAACAAAACACACATCTGTAAATAGTGTGGATGTTGTATCTACAATGAAACCGCCTTCTTATTTTTTAAACACGAACATATCTAACGTATTTTATAGTGAACGAAAGTTAATTTGATTTAATAAATACAGGTGTACTTTCTGTAGTATCTACCACTTAAAAATTAAAGCATGTAATTAGATATGATACAGCAACTGAGAAGGAATTAAAGCAGATTAATTCGTCATGGCGTCACGTATTTAACCCTTTGAAGCCGAAAGTCGTCTGAATGTTTAAGAATTAATCCGTACCTCAAAGAAAGCACACGTCGTCATTACAAATATCACCTGGTAAATGCTCCTTAAGGAAATAATCGCTATTTGCATTGCTAATCATACGAAATCCACAAATACAAAATGCAGTTTCTGGTAATTAAAGTAGGTGATACAAATAGTTACTACTGGGGTCAAAGGATTAATGTGTACTGAAAATTAGTACAAATTTTCACTGTTCAGTCGGGAAATGACGAGACAGAGATTTACAGGTAACGGTTCTCGTGTGAGTACACATTGATTTGATACAAAGGTTTCTGAAACAGAAACTAAGATCACGATTTTGTGTTGAACTTCTTCAAACGTGTTGCTGCCATAACGAATTTTATGTATTTAATCGTGTACGCCACAAAACACGTCCTTATACTCTTTCGATTTACAGGCTCTCCAAAGGCAGGAAATTCGAAATATGTACATGGCCCAACGTAGACTTCATTAAGGAACCCAATTTTTTGTTTCTAAGTGTTCATGATGCCGTGCATCTTTGATAAAATATAAATCTTCGTAGTCAGGTAAAATAGTTTGATTAGATTGCAATAGCTGGTTCGTATCTGCAGTAAACGAACGTAGATAAATATATTTGGATGGTATGTAGGCCTCAATTAAAGATTATATATTTCTGCTGTGGCCTTGCGAAGCATTGAGATTCTTTTGAAAGTTGTTTCCTGTAGGGCTAACCTTCGAAGCCGAACCTCGTCTAAATATTTAAGAATTCAGTCCTTACCTATAAACAAACAAATTTTACCATCACAAATATAAACTTTTTGATGCTAATTAAGGAAATAATTGCTGTTTGCACTGAAAATCATGCGAAACCCATAAATACAAACTGCAGCGTTACAGATTATATTGAAGCAGTTGGGACATAGTTGATAGTTGCCACTGGGCTTTAAAGGGTTAATAAAGATTGCCGATGTCTTCTGGGTTGTAGCGCTGTGTCGTCTAGTAGAAGTTTACCGACGTTTCAGAGGTCCATGCTGCCTCCGTCATCATCGCCCTTATGGAGGCAGCAAGGACCTATGAAACATTGGTAAATTTCTACCAGACTTCGCGGCGCTATAACCCGGAAGACGGCCATCTTTGGACTCAGCGCCGTGAGAACTTCAGATCATATTGACAATGTTGATTGTGAATAATAAGTTTACGAGTCCCCGGTTTTTCCGCACACTGCGGACAGGCTACAAAGGGGGGTCTCCAATTTGGGTGTTTTACGGGGATTAACAACCTTTTATCGTAAAAGAACTAGCATGTTAGAAGTGTCACGATCAGTCTGGGATTTGGTACAGATTCTGTGGAACGGCGTAAGGACGAAAAATGTGGCTTAGTATAGGAGCCACTGGCAGGGTGTTCTAAAAGCACTGTAATGAACCTTCAGTTGTAATAAAATGCTGTGATTTTTTTTACTAGTTCAACGACTATTAAGTTCTCAAGGAGGCTTTACTTCATGTAATTCTAGAAGGAAGTTAATTACATGTGGTCCCATGACTGGTTCAGATTTAATACTAAAGCTGCTAAACAATGTGTTCGTACACGAGGAAGAGATTAAATGAAGAGATTTTGAATTATTCCAGTACTCGGAACCGAATCATGTGCTATTCAAACTGCTTTGAGATAAGACAGAGTATATAAACGCTTGTTTGCCGTGTAGATTCATTGCCCTTTGGACATGAAAAGTGTATGTGAGGATATTTGAAAGCTGCGTTCTTCTGCCTGTGCGATTGGCTAGATGACACGTTACATGGTAAGGACACGTTTCCTGTAGGCCTGTATTCGAGATTTATAGGTTGCAGATGTGTGGTGTTGGGGCAGATTTTTGTCGAGAATATCGAGTTTGATCCACCTATAATGCAGAGTTTGAGTCATGAGAGCGCGGTCTAGAAAAATGTTTTATACAATGGAGACTGTTTTTAAAAACTGTGAACCAGCAAATTGTTACTAATATTTTTAGATACGTGTTACTGGTATGTGATTTAGTAGAATGCCTTTGCTGTATAATACGATACGAATCATCTTTTCCGCCTCCTAAGGACGTTTACATTTTGAAGATTTCTTGTCTTCTGGGTTGTTGCGCTGTGTAGTCTGGTCGATGTTTACCAACGTTTCAGAGGTCATATTGCCTCCGTCATCAGGGCGATTCTTAGTATTAAGATTTCTGTCTTCTGGGTTGTTGCGCTGTGTAGTCTGGTCGATGTTTACCAACGTTTCAGAGGTCATACTGCCTCCGTCATCAGGGCGATGAGTATGAAGATTTCTGTCTTCTGGGTTGTTGCGCTGTGTAGTGTGGTCGAAGTTAACCAACGTTTCATCGCCCTGATGACGGAGGCAGTATGACCTCTGAAACGTTGGTTAACATCAACCAGACTACACAGCGCAACAACCCAGAAGACAGAAGTCTTCATACTCATCGTTGTGAAAACCTCAAATCGTTTACATTTTGTTGGTCATTTGCTTTAAATACAAACAACGCGTTTTTACTGATAATTACTTGCAGTAATATATTTACAGTGAGGGTCTGTTAGCACTAGTATATTTGTCACCGAACATGATTAAAGTAATCAAACAATGAGGATGAGATGGACGGAACTTGTAGCAAACATAAGAGCGATAACTACGCTTGTAACAGAGTGAGTCACAGTTAGGCCCCTATTCCAAGAAATTCTAACTCTGAAATGAACAAAGTTGTGGATACGATACGAAGCACAGCGTACTGGAGCAAAATTCAGGTTTATTTTTACGATTAAAATTTTTTCTAAGTGCTGAATATGGCTGCCACGACTCCATTCTAGAGTTATAATCTATTTAAACCTGGACCTAACTCCATTAAACGTATTCTTTCCAAACTTTCTGAGAATTTGTTTATAGTTTTTATTACTTTGTTATGTTATTTACAATTCTGTATTATCTTCATTGCATTTATATTCCAGTATTTTGTATCGCGAGACTTTGCTGAGGAACTGCATTTCTCCTCATAAAAGCGTTGATATGGCTACAACTTATAGAATTGTAACTAAAGGGTGTAAATAGAAAAGGAACTGCATGTGTCGCGATGTAATTAAGCATATATTATTTTCAAGTCTTGACAGAATTAACTTATGTTATACCAATACACTTAACTTCCCTGATTCCTGTTAGTAATTTGGGTCAGCCAATAGAAGCTATTGCCTGGGGGTGATAATGTGGTGTGGTGCTTAAGCACAGGGACAAATTTACCTTTAATTCTATATAGATCTGATATTTAACTCTTTCTAATTCTGCATATTAGAATTGGTGAACTTAACGTAATTTCTGATGAATTTTAATTGTTCCAGCAGCCGACGCAACAGGTTGGTGAAAAACGTGAACACCTGTACAAGATCTTGGTGATTGGTGAACTTGGTACGGGAAAAACCTCAATTATCAAGCGTTATGTCCATCAGTTCTTTTCTCAGCATTACCGTGCCACTATTGGCGTTGATTTTGCTCTCAAAGTCCTTAATTGGGATGCAAACACAATCATAAGACTGCAGCTATGGGACATTGCAGGTACTGTGCACTTTGTTTTATAAAATAATTCAGTGTATAGTGTATACATAGGAAATGCGACATTCAGCACCTTTTTTGTTACTACAATGAAAACAAAATTGACGGATTGTTTTAAGTAGTCCTACAAATTTGAAACAGAAAATAGTTCTTTGCTAAATTGTGTGATGTAGAGCAGTGGTATTCAACCTGGGGTACGCGTGCCCCCCGGGGGTACACGAAGACATCTTAGGGGGTTCGTGAAAATTTAAAAAAAAAAAAAATATATATATATATATATATATATATATGATTTCATGA